CGTCGTCATGCAGTATTCTAGCTCTGAGAAATAAACGAGTGCGCAGCAAATCAATGTAACAAGTTGTGGCTGCTGATAGATTAAACTCTATTACCCCACCGTGCGAGGTACTACCGACAGGTCGGACATCTATCCACTCAGTTTGTTCGACACCGGCGTCAGTTGGTAAATTGTGAAATAATGCCAGTCTATGACTAAGTGCAGGTTTAGATCCATCAGCGAAAAAAGCCATGTTGACACGTCGATGATGAAAAGAGGAATGAAAGACAAGATAAGTATTAATCTAATTTTATATTTGGTATATACAAATCTTCTCTGTTTTTTTTTCTTTTCTTAGGTTTAGGTCCGTCTAGCGCGGAAAAACCACTACCGGTCCGCCCTCCAGTTTTCTTTTCTTTAAATCCGCCTTAGCTCTGTCCACCGCCTGCTGAGTTGGAGTCACCATTTCTATTTTAGGCTTGGAAATCCCACGTCCTTCCCCAAATTGTCTAACAATATATGAATTTTGATTTGTAATGTACTTCATGTTAGCCGTTGTGACAAAGTGTTTTTTCCACTCTTCTGCGTTAGGGATAAACGGTTTCCAGGACATCTTCTCAAGTGAAGTGTACAGTGCAAGGTTTTAATTGGTAATGTAGAGTTAGACAGGTCGCTGTATGATAAATAAATGCGAAATCGCTGTATCTGATCACGTGCCAGGGGCACATAAAACGGATTAATTAGCGCTGCTGATCCGCGCTCTAAGAGCAGACGACGCAAGACGGGAAGTTTCTAAAAATCGATGTAACTACTATAGCACTGGTCTGACATAACAGTTATAACTTTCAGCTGTGCTAGATTTGGCACGTCAAAAATTATGTCCACCAATGCGCATTCCCACTCCCCTTGAAGGTGAAGTGACTGTGCCAATTCTTTGATAAAATCATAAGAGTTGTTCTCTGGGTGAAATTTTAAACAATCATTAGAGGCGCAAAACAGAGAGTGTTGATGATTCATCCTTAAAGTTCTTTCAACTGAGACTGCAAGATCCAACTATTGAATTTATTTGGCCACCCCAACCACTTCACCATCACGTCTCTTCTATTATTGCGCATACGTCTGCGCAGAACTTTTTCAACTTTGTAAACTGTATCATTGTTCACCCGCACCTTTTGAAGTTCTTCTTGATAAAATGTTCCAAGTATTGGGTCATTATCGTAGTCTTTTAAGGTGTACAGACAGCGACCGTCTTTAGTAAAACGGGAACTAATTATAAATAACTCGCGAGTCCATCGTTCGTCGTACTCTCGGGAAAAGGTATTCTGAGTGTACGTAATACGAACAATATCACCTGTTTTGAATTTAAACCTCTTAACTTCTGGATTACTATCTCTTTCCTTTTCTTGCGTTCTCCAAAAGTTAAATCGGTGCTCATTAGTGACACTTACAGGGCTTTTCTCTATTGTCCTATGATACGTATTGTTGTAACTCTGTGTGATAGCATTTAAATCGTTAATCCAACAATGCGATTGTCTGTGGGTCATAATACGCACTAATTTGGATTTTATAGTTTTAATGGATCTTTCTGCATAAGACGCTTTAACGGAATTTTGAGTGACGAAATGTTTTAATTTTAGCGATTTTAATAGGCGGTTTACATATGTATTAACAAATGCACTGCCTTTGTCTGTTCGCAAAACATGGGGCTTTCTACCACTCTGAAAAATACTTCGGAAAGCACTTGCAATTTCTACACCTTTTCTTGTTTTTAAAAAGGTCGGGTCCACACAAAGCTCTAGAAAATGTCAATGACGAGCAGAAAACACGTGTAACCGTTATTTGATGATTTATAGGAATCGAAAATAGCCGTATCTGCATCCCACTGATAATCAATATAAGTTGCAATTACTTTACGCCTTGGAAATTTATTTCGTGACTGTTTATGTACACTAAATGTTTCTTGCTCTTGCAGCCAATTTCTTATTTTATTTCTGGAAATACGATGCCGTCCTTCTTTTTCAACTTCTCTGTATAACTTTTCTTCACCGGAATACGCAGCGGGGTGTCCACTGTCATAATAGATCTCAGATAATCTTTATAAGTCTCCAGTGCTATTATGCACAAATTGAATCCACTTTGTTCTCTTTCGAATAGTCTTCTTTATAGGTAAACCAGGAGGAGGGGGAGGGGCTACTTCTACTTTAATTTCCTTTTTCACATCTCGTTCCGGTGTTGATGTTTGCGTTGTCGCATTTTACTGAACTGTGAAGGGTTGGACGCGCTGCGCGTGGTAGTCAATCTGTTATATTTGTCCTCTGGAATCAATACCATTTTCTGCGTGTATTTCATTTTAAGAGTTTTATAACAAATTCCCTCACTTCCTCTAACACATGAGACAGCAAGCGGTAATGCTTTTTTAAGGCACGAAGCTTATCTTTTACAGGCTTCTTTGAATTGGTAAAGTTTAAGAATACTCTCTTATTCTTACGCATAAGATCTGTATCTTCTTTGATAGTGGAATAGACCCACTTAAGACATTGTGAATGATCTCAATCAGTGCAAACACTTGTTTTACGCTGGCGGTGTATATCAGACCCAATCTTTGCTCACGGGGTGTGTCCTTGTCAAAAATTAATTTCAAATACGACGAAACGTTGTGTAAAGTAGTGCTCATATTTAAATCACCTATCTACATTCTCCGAACGACCTTCTCGCAATGAATGACTGAAAGTCTACAGAGGTTTATATATAACACAGATTTCGTCGGGAAAGACGCCAGTTCTGATACGATAATCTTCTTCACCATGGGGAGATAAATCCAACACAAGGTAACCAAAAGTTTTTTTTTCATACAGTCATTGTACGCTTCAATTAAAGCTCGTGATTTCCCGGGGGAAAACTTGCTTACCAAGACATTGAATTTGAGAAACATCTCTTGGATTTTTCAACAAAACCATGTAATGGGTGTTTAAGTTTATGGTCTTTGAATGTTACCCTTGACAGTACATATTGTGATTTAAGTACAATATAGTCCACTTTTTATGATGTGCACCCTGCGTGAAAAGTTTTTCCATTTCCTTGTTGTTAAGTTCATTCATTAAATCGTCAACAACAATAAGGTTGTGATTACCGCTAAGTTCCTCTATGTCGGACAAGGATGGTAAACCTCTTTGAAAAGACACAGACGGAAAACTGTTTTCCATGACAGTAAATTCGTCTTGATAAACACCATAACAGTATAACACTCTTTTTGCTGATATGGGTTCAAACATTGTGTCTAAATTTTGTATAAGCTTTTTGACAAAAGTCGTTTTACCCGAACCTGTTATACCGGATATAGAAATCGTTGTACAACTATGAAACGGAAACATGTTGAAGCCTCTCTTTCGTTTTTGAAAATGACTAACTATTGAATCGAGTAATGGTATATATAGGAACAAACAATCTTTCTGCCTGCAGAAAGAACGACAAAAAACAAATTTTGTAAAGATGACATATTTATTCAAAGATACATATTGCATAACATTTAATTAAGTTAACATTTCTTAATTGACATTATCAAGGTCCCCACTTGGATTGCACTCTAGCACCGCCATTTAACATTTCTTAATTGTCATTATCAATGTCGCCACTTGCACTCCATGCACTCTAGCATCGCCATCTGGTTGCTATGGTCTTGATGCGCGTAACATGGCACCACACTGTCCAGCTCCAAGGGTAAATGAAAGTTTATTTCGTGGAAGTTGCTCTTTAGTTTTGCCCACCCCGGAATTCTTAGGGAGACTCCTTCTCTTGTTGGGTATAATGTTTTTCTGCCTGACTCCACATTCCTCATGAGGTCGAATTTGTGAATGTTTATGCATCTGTACGGGGATGTTACCGAGCATGCACATTACCCCCAATGTGTAGACGGTAATCAACTTCTTTGTCTTTCTTCACACCCCCCAGTTTCTTGTCTATAATTTCTATAGAATCGCACAGGATGCGCCATCTAGACAGGGACATGGACTGACCTTTTTCCGTTGGATGGTTGTTGTCGAATAAGCGAACGTCAACAATGGTTTCCTCCTCGTTGGTTTTGTGTTCGTAAATTTTCACATTGCGCTCAGACCCCAAGTCGAAAGTAAAAGTCTCAGTCATGTCCTGGTTCTGCATTTTCGTCTCTCTACAGTGGTGTGTCGTGTACCTCGCCGAATTGTGAGATGATTTTCCTTCGGTGTAGGTGCGATTCTTATATAGTTCCTTGTATACATGGAAAATAATCTTGTTTGTACAAATAAATATTTCAAAATAAAGGTAAACTGCACAAACATGTTTTTTAACTAAGTATGATTATCTACGATTTAACCATTAATACCCAATTAACTAACTATTTACACCAATTCATTTGCATAGAGTCCATTGCATTATATTGCTCTTCTTTGTAGCTTAACTCCGTAATAAAACTCCTTAACTTGTTTCATTTAATTATTGCTATTGTCCACCTTTAATCAGTAAAATTCTATGTTTGTGCAAACAAAATTTCAAAATACAGGGGACCTGCGCAAACATGATTTTTTTCTTGCAAACCAAGTAAGATTATCACCTGTTTAACGTTTAAATACCCAATTTACTATCTATTCACATCAACTCATTTTGGACAGAGTTCCTTGCATTAAATTACTAAACTTCGTGGTTCTTCTCAATTGTATCAATTAATAACTGTTATTGTCCACCGTACGTTACCGTTAAATCAATTTGATTTTGTCTAATTGCAATGAAAGCAATACCAAATTGAAGACAGATTAAAACATGTAAAACTCATTATAATTTTATTGCAGGAGTTAACAGAACATAATGACAGTCTTTTATTCCCATATATACAACATTTCTGATTTTTTTTTCCATTGGAAAAAAAACTACCCATGGACAAAGTTGTACGAATGTCATTAACTTTTTATAGTTAAGAATATTAATATACATCTATATACATTTTTATTTTATAAATACGAGTTTAATGCAGCATTTTGCCGATGGTTATTTACAAAAATTACACACACACAATACAGTTCAATAGCCAAGTCTCTCTGGCACTCTCCTGACGCGCTGAGATCGTCTAAGGACGGGTGTCGGTTCCCTTTGATGGCGGGTTGGCACGGGGGCTTCAGGTCCAAGAGCACTTCCACAGTATAAAGAGCACTACAAGAAATTGTTGGCTTTTAAAAAGTTTGTTCAGTCTAAATTAACACTTTGGAACTGGCCAAAGTCCGTCACAGAAATATCGTCAATCGCGGTTGTTAACCTCGGTCGTCGTTTTCTCTGTGCGCATTTCTTGAAGACGAGCACTGCACAAATGCACACTGCAATACTGCAGATCACGAGGGACGATATTCCTGCGGCGATTATCCAGGGAGTGTCTAGAAAATATATTTTATACTATAAGTCTTCAATTCACGCAAATAATGTCAGCATTTTTTGGTATTTGTTAATTGAGATTTCTCGTAAACACAAGATTTTTTCAACCAAAAACAAAACTTTTGAAAAAATTAAATACATGATACACTTACCGAAGGTTATCGCTGCCGTTTCCGCGAGGGTCGTCGTGGTGAACACGGCCTGGGTCGGATGCAACTCTGCCGAAACCTGACAAACATAAACAATTCGATATTAAAAATTGCGTAATGTCCATTTTAAACAATAAATGTACATAAATTAAAAAAAAATTACTGGCAAGAAATATTTACTTACAATTGGACACATTTTGTCCCCCAGAAAGACTTGGGTGTCCCGTCTAACGAGTACGCTACCACAGGTCAGTTCGGGAAACTTCGCGGGTACGTTAAGGCAGTACACAGATCATATTTCGGCGAATTTAGACTTTTTTCGTAAAATGTAACATTGATAAATCGGAAAAGTCATAGATAATGTGATATGGTGAAATTGTTATAATGTATTTTATATTTAAAAATTATATATTTGACAAAATAATTTTTGGTAAAATAATTGTTCCCGTGATTGGTTTTGGACCGGGGTCCTTTGGATTTCGGGGCGAGCTGCCTATCCGCTGGACTATGGAGTAATACGACCAATGTATCGTAAATTATTTAAATAACCGTAATATCAATATATTCTTATTTCAGTACTACTTTATGTTAAAATTATTTTTTGGGGTTTCTGTAAGTTCTTTATTTATTTTATACATCTAAAATTAGGATTAATATAAAACAATAGTGTTCTTTAAAATAATTATTTTATTCCTTTGTTTGAATTGTCGGTTGTTCATAACAAGACACGCCATATTGAGATTCGGAAGCTTTGTGAAATTGAAGTCCGTAAAAGTTAAAATAAATTCTAGTTTATCGCCTCAGAAGTTATCCAAAGTATGTAAGTATTTATCTATTAAGTATCCTGTAAAATTTATATGTAATTTACAACATATTAAGTGTTTATTTTGGAATTCTTAAATGAGTTGATTGTTTAGGTTTACATATGAGATTCATTGTTTACGAAAGAAACTAATAATCAAATTTATTAATTCTGTTAAATAATTATCATATCACATATCATGAAATAGTAAATAATATTGTAGTCTTGTTAAACCGGTGAACTAGTTTTTATAATTCAAGGTATGCTATTGTTACATTTAGTTTGAGAGTTGAAAATATATTGATCAATGATGCAGAATATGCATTTAAGGTCTGTTATATTATCATGTTAGGTTAACAACAATGATGTGACAGATCACGCATGGATCTTTGATTTCTCCCTTACTTAGGGTATCTTTTATCCATGATAAAGATGATGCATATTGTTATATATTATATAATATTGGCATAGTAACAAATATTACAAATTTATACAAATAACTGAGTATTATGAAATGTATATTATTTCATTGCATACTTGTATTTCTGCATTTGTATTGCAAGTTATGTAATTCATTGATCTTTTTATAAGAATACTATATTCAAAATGACAATAGCTTTTGATGTTAGATTTTATTACTTGTTATCATTATATTGTAGGCCTTCACCATTATTATATATCATACCAATAATAAAATATGGTAACCAAATATACCCGGCGTGTTACAATGGTGTCAGAAGTGGGATTCCTCAGATCATATGGATACTGATGGTGTCGTGTTATTGAAGACCCATGGTGCTGAAGCTGTCCAAGAAGTGATAATAATATTTTGTAGACAATATGCATCTTTGTTTTGTTCCTTTGACTGTGTTTATTAATTTTGAATTCCAATGTCTAAACCTAAAATCCTGAAGTCACTTAAACAACTTAATCCCGAGATAAATGGTAAACGTAAGATTGCAACACCTGTTTTATTATCAGACAGTAAGGATTTATATTTAAAGAGAGAAGTTACCACAGATTTGGAAAACAAATTCGATTTTGGTGTAAAAGTGGAGAACGAACAAATAATGCTATTGACTGGTTAAAAAGAAATATTAATTCAAAAATCAGACAGTATGGTAAAATTCATTTGTATGTATGGCTAGGAACTTGCGATTTAACCACCAAGTCTGGAAAATTCACATCTATTAGAACTCTAAATGATGATAGTGTTGAATACTTAAAGAACAAATTTGAAGAAGTGATTAATTTTACAAAGAAATACAGAGAAGTTAACGTTACTATTCTGGAAATTCCAGTTTATTCTATTTCAAAGTGGAACAAGACAAATAAACACGAGGATCCGTCCAAGTTTAAGGAAGACGATAAACTGTTGGAGACACAGGTTGATAAATTAAATCAAATTATCCGTGAACTTAATAAAAGTGCTCGATCTCCAAAATTCTCCCTTGATCTCTTGAGAAACAGAAAGGTGAAGAACGGCAAGAAGAGCACGTATTATTTCAACTACGAACTGTACAACATTGGTATACATCCTTGTTCTTCATTAGCAAAACTGTGGTTAAAACGATTGATGTCTTTGGTCGTACATGACTGTTATAGTGATTAGCCAGTAAACTTTGCAAATCTCTGATAAGTGAGGAGTCCTCGCTGTTAGTTATTTGCAGTAATCTGTATATTTTCTTTGATTAGAGACTAGTGAGGTCAACCTCGCTTTTCACTGTCACTGAAAAATAACAGAAACAATGTCAGAAGTGAAGGAGGAATTGGAACAATTGAGAAGGAAGTTAAAAGAACTAGAGATTAAACAGACGACCACACCAAAACCACAGCCACCAGTATATATCAAGTCTGAAAGAAAAATACCATGTTTAGTAGGACGACCAACTAAGGAGAGTGATCCTGATGTAGATGACTGGTTGTCAGATGTAAGGGAACATCTCAGTAGTATACCAACGAAAGATGGAAAGATAGATTTCATCCTAGATCACCTTACAGGCGCTGCGAAAACAGAATTACGGTTACGTCCGCCAGATAGTAAGAAGACACCAGAGGATATTCTGAAGATCATAGAAGATACATACAAGATACAAGACACTGTAGCACAACTGCAACACAAATTCTATGAACGTGTTCAACAAGAAAACGAAAGTTTAGAATCTTATTCCTTAGCCCTCATGAAAATGTTGCATACCATTGCGAAGAAAGAAGGAAGTGATTACAACACTACGGATAAAATTATAACAGACAAATTCATAGATGGTGTCCAAGACCAACAAATTAAAAAAGAGTCAAGGAAATTCTCTTTAGACAATCCAACACTTCCATTTATTGAATTTTGTGGCAGAATATTGATGTGGGTTGATGATCAAAATACCAAGTCTGGGACTGCAAAAATCAACAGAACATCTACTGAAAAGAAAACCTCAAATGACGATCTTATGGAAATTTTGCGAAAAGAACAAGAAATATTTGAGAAACAACAACAGCAAATAGAACTATTGACTAACCTAGCAAAGCAGCCAAAATACGATCAATCACGTTCAACTTATCAGATACGTGGATACTACAGAGGAACGTTTCGAGGAAGAGGCCGCGGAAGAGGAGCAGGCAGAGGAATGATACAGCAAACCTGTCAGATCATTTGCTTCAAATGCGGAAAAGAAGGACATAAGAGTAACGAATGCTTTTCGTTCAAAGAAAGAAAACCAGAAAAACAAGCCAAAAGCTTGACCCTCACGGTGAGGAGTCTAGCTGATGGGGGACAGGAAATAGACTCCAAAATGACACTTCAAAAACCAGTTTTTAATGCCTTATCAAAATGTCCAACAACAACAATTAAACTTAATGGGCACAATTTCCATTCAGAAGTTTCAACTATTTCAGAATCATTTTATAATGAACATTTAGCATCTTCAGAACTCAATGACACCCGAAAATTTCTCAAACTCGTTGCAGCAAATGATACGCAAATTCCGTATTTAGGATACATTGAAACTGACATTGATGTATTTGGGTGTAGGATTTTTAGTTTCAAAAGACAGTTCTGTTTCCGACCCTATAAATGGCATTTTAGGTTGTAACATTCTAAAGCATATTCGGAGTTACATGAACGAAGAAAAGGATCAAATTAAATTTGAAAGTGTAGAACAACAGGATTCCTGGAACAACGTTGATACTGTCCTCGATATGGCTGAACACGATGACCGAAAAAGTTTTGTAAAAGTTGCCGGGCGACAAGAAATCAATATTCCCGCAAATTCAATGAAAGTAGTTATTGGTTCAACTCACCAAAATAAAAAAGGTGAAGAATATACAGCCACAGTCCAAGCAATTCATGGAACAACAGGATCGCTTCCACGGAACATCATGGTAATCGACACATTAGGAACAGTAGAAAATGGAAAGATCCCTGACAGAATTATAAATATCGGCGATGAAGATGTCTGGTTAAAACCAAAAAGTCGAATTGGAACTTTACACAAAGTTGATGTCATCAAATCTACAGATGATGAGTATGACCTAGAAATTCTTGATAAGAAAGTTTACGTTCGGAAAATAAATACAGATTTCATCAAACCGACGGACAGTAAATGTGCGAATGATTTAAAATTTAAACTTGGAAATGCACAGTTGACCGAAAACCAGAAAAAGCAATTTCATCAAGTCATTCAAAAACATTCAGACGCATTTACCAAAGATGATGATGATCTTGGCTATACGGATTTGATTACACATAACATAAAGTTAACAGATGACATTCCTGTTCGAGTGCCACATCGTCGAATTCCACCACATCAAGTCGACGAAGTAAAACAACACATACGCAAATTGTTAAACCAAGGGATAATTAGAAAGAGCAATAGTCCATTTGCGTCCGCTGTCGTGATAGTGAGAAAAAATGACAAAAGTCTTCGTTTATGTGTTGACTACCGCGAATTGAACAAGAAAACTATTAAAGATGCGTATCCGTTACCTAGAATAGAGGAAACGTTAGACGTCTTGCATGGAGCGAAGTACTTCAGTTCTATAGCTCTAGCCCAAGGATACCATCAAGTTGCTATGGATGAGAAATCAATTGAGAAAACGGCATTCCGAGTTGGAACTGGTGGCTTATATGAATATCTTAGGATGCCTTTCGGCTTATGTAATAGCCCTGCTACATTTCAAAGACTGATGGAGGCTTGTTTTACAGATGAAAATTTTGACATCTTACTTTTGTACTTGGATGATATATTAGTATTTTCTAAAACCATCGAAGAACACATACATCGATTAGACATTGTATTCTCCAAACTAAAAAGTCATGGTCTTAAAATGAAACCATCAAAATGTAATTTCTTCAGTACATCTGTAAAATATTTTGGACATATCGTTTCAGCTGAAGGAGTTTCTACAGATCCTGAAAAGACAGAGGCTATAAGATCATGGCCAACACCAAAATCTGAAAAAGAGTTACGATCATTTTTAGGATTAGCTGGTTACTATAGACGATTTGTGAAGGATTTTTCAAAAACTGCAAAACCTTTGCATGCTATAACCACAGATAACAAGAAGAAAAAGAAGAAATGTCCATCCCAACCATTTATAGAACTTTGGAGTAAAGAATGTGATTCTGCATTCCACGAGCTTAAAGAAAGATTGGTATCTTCTCCAATTTTAGGATAACCTGACTTTAAGAAAACTTTCATTCTGGAGACCGATGCGAGTTTTGACGGACTTGGTGCTGTGCTATCCCAAGAACAAAATCAAGGACACGTAGTTATAGCATATGCGTCACGAACATTGAGACCAGCGGAGCGTAATATGGAGAATTACAGTTCCATGAAATTAGAACTGTTGGCACTAAAATGGGCAGTGACGGAAAAATTCCGCGATTATCTACTTGGAGCAAAGTTTATTGTTTACACGGATAATAATCCGCTGAGTTACCTACAGACTGCGAAGTTAGGGCCAACGGAGATGCGATGGACTAGTCAATTGGCACAGTTCAACTTCGAGGTGAAATTCCGATCAGGAAAGGTAAATCGAAACGCCGATGCGTTAAGTCGTAAACCTACACCAAGAGTCAGAACTGTCACGCGTAATTCTGAATCTGTTTTTCAGAATTTGATATTTAGCACCCCACTGATGGATATTCGAGATGAAGGTACTCATTTTTTAGATGCTCATATTCGATCTACTCATGTAGACTCTGTTGAAGCAACATCAACTTTGCCAGAATACCAACCTACTGAATTGTCTTCATTACAAGAACTAGATCCAACAATCAGTAGAGTCATGCATTGGCTTAATAGTCATACTCGACCCACAATTAAAGAACTGAAGCAAGAGAAGAAAGATGTTCGAAAACTATTAAAACAACAAAACAAATTACGAATTGAAAACAACGTTCTATATAGAAACATTGAAAGTGATACTGGTCCTGTTCGACAACTTGTTTTGCCATTGTCTTTGAAAGACCATATATTAGAGTCATTACACAATCACGCAGGTCATCAAGGGATGGAAAGAACTTCGTCATTAATTAAAATGAGATGCTATTGGCCAACAATGCAAAATGATGTAGAACAATATTGCAAAAAGTGTGAACGCTGCATGGTAGCCAAAGCACCAGTTCCCACAGTACGACCACCTATAGGGAATCTTTTAGCGTACCAACCGCAAGAAATTCTAGCAATTGATTTTACAGTTCTTGAACCAGCGAGCGATGGGCGAGAAAATGTACTAGTGATGACTGACATATTCAGTAAATATACACAAGCAGTGCCGACAAAAGATCAAAAGGCAGTTACAGTTGCTAAAGTGTTAGTAAAAGAGTGCTTTGTTCGTTTTGGAATTCCTAGAAGGATTCATAGCGACCAAGGGAGAAACATCGAAAGCGAAGTTGTAAAAGAACTATGTAAAATGTATGATATCTCCAAAAGTAGAAGAACTCCGTATCATCCTGAGGAAAACGGCCAGGTAGAACGATAAAATCGTACAATGCACAATCTATTAAGAACATTATTCCCTCAGCAAAAGAGGAAATGGCCTGAACATTTGCCCGAGCTAATTTATCTATACAATTCAACAATACATTCTTCTACCGGGTATACACCGTATTTTTTTTGTTTGGACGAGATCCGACCTTACCTATCGATCATCTTCTCGGACTTCCAACAACCAAAATCTCTTCAACCGATGAATACGTTGTACAACACGGGAAAAGGCTACGAACAGCGATGGAAAGCGCTAAGCAAAATCTGGATGACAATGCTCTACGTAGGAAAGAACTCTACAACAGAGATGCCAAAGAAAAACCTCTTTCAATTGGTACACGTGTTTTAATGCGGAACAGAATTCAGGGCAGAAACAAGATACGAGATGTCTGGAATTCTACGCCTTATAAAGTTATGAAAGATTTCGGGGATAATGTGTATTCTGTGCAATTAGCCGATGGAACTGGTCCAACGAAAAATGTCACCCGTAGAGAACTTTTGGATACAGGTGAATTAGTTTCGAGTGATTCTGAAAGTGAAACATCGATTTCTGATTCAGATTCTGTAAAAAGTGATGAAAACTTTCACGCAGTTCTAGATTTTCGGCCAGAGGATGTTCATCCAGACAACAGTGATAATGAATTTATACATCATCATTCGTCACAAGAAATCCCCTTCCGACAAGAAACTCCCGTACCGCTTAGGCGTTCGAGTGGAAGTACCGCGGGCAAACATTCAAACCCATACCACTTACCTCGGTCGGCAGTACGAACACAAACAGCTGTGACAAGTGAAAGTAACTTTCAAGAACTAAGTCAAGCTGTTGCAAATCTCGGAGCCACTCTAGGAGAAACACTTACCAAAGCATGGTCTCAGTGTAAACATTAATCATTGGCTGTGTCAATTTTTTAATAATGATTTTAAGTTTTAAAAATATATCATGATATTGATGTTCTATTATGATAGTTCTATTCATGATAGTTGATATATATTTTTATTAACATTGCTGTGGACAGCAATGGTAAAAGGGGGGAATATGTGATATGGTGAAATTGTTATAATGCATTTTATATTTAAAAATTACATATTTTACAAAATAATTTTTGGTAAAATAATTGTTCCCGTGATTGGTTTTGGACCGGGGTCCTTTGGATTTCGGGGCGAGCTGCCTATCCGCTGGACTATGGAGTAATACGACCAATGTATCGTAAATTATTTAAATAACCGTAATATCAATATATTCTTATTTCAGTACTACTTTATGTTAAAAATTTTTTTGGGGTTTCTGTAAGTTCTTTATTTAATTTATACATCTAAAAATAGGATTAATATAAAATAATAGTGTTTCTTTAAAATAATTATTTTATTCCTTTGTTTGAATTGTCGGTTGTTCATAACAAGACACGCCATATTGAGATTCGGAAGCTTTGTGAAATTGAAGTCCGTAAAAGTTAAAATAAATTCTAGTTTATCGCCTCAGAAGTTATCCAAAGTATGTAAATATTTATCTATTAAGTATCCTGTAAAATTTATGTGTAATTTACAGCATATTAAGTGTTTATTTTGGAATTCTTAAATGAGTTGATTGTTTAGGTTTACATATGAGATTCATTGTTTACGAAAGAAGCTAATAATCAAATTTATTAATTCTCTTAAATAATTATCATATCACATATCATGAAATAGTAAATAATATTGTAGTCTTGTTAAACCGGTGAACTAGTTTTTATAATTCAAGGTATGCTATTGTTACATTTAGTTTGAGAGTTGAAAATATATTGATCAATGATACAGAATATGCATTTAAGGTCTGTTATATTATCATGTTAGGTTAACAACAATGATGTGACAGATCACGCATGGATCTTTGATTTCTCCCTTACTTAGGGTATGTTTTATCCATGATAAAGATGATGCATATTGTTATATATTATATAATTTTGGCATAGTAATAAATTATACAAATTTATACAAATGTCTGAGTATTATGAAATGTATTTATATTATTTCATTGCATACTTGTATTTCTGCATTTGTATTGCAAACTATGTAATTCATTGATCTTTTTATAAGAATACTATATTCAAAATGACAATAGCTTTTGATGTTAGATTTTATTACTTGTTATTATTATATTGTAGGCCTTCACCAGTATTATATATCATACCAATAATAAAATATGGTAACCACATATACCCGGCGTGTTTCAATAAAACATTTACTATTATTATCCATTGTATAGACGTCGTTGAGTCTTAGGCTAATAGAAGCACTCCACTACGACGTCATCAAGTGACGTCTATAAATATAAAAATTGCCTTAATGAAAAAGTGAAAAGTTCAACACTACCCCGGGTATAATTCATTTCTTTTTGTGAAAATAATTATGTAAAAACTTCACTGGACCATGAAAAGTGCTGCTAGAATCCTTCCTTTCCAAACACAGAAAAAAATATTCCAAGTTTCGCATGAAACCTTACCAAATTTTTTACATTTTATACATACGATCAAGGAATTGTCATCAATGTATGTTAACCACACGATTCTAGCAGCACTTTCCATATACTATAGAATAAAAGCTTTCGATACAAACAAAAATTATGTTTCACAGTATGCGGCGTAGTGTTGAACTTTTGCATCTTTTCTGTTATAGAGCGACAGAGGAAAGGCTGATCGGGATTTCAAAGCACTGCCTGTGTTCATTACAAGAAAACATGATAAGAATATATCAGCGTACCTGATTCATAATCTTTAATTCCTTATTAATCACACATAACAGCTTTGAAACTCCCATTTCATATATTTGTTTACATAAATTCTCGTCACGTTTAATTTTTACTCGGCAAATATTTGATCAATAGTAATGACGTAATGGGTTTGATATTTAACCCCCGTGATAAATACTTAGCTATTTATACCACCCAAAAATGACAAGATTTAGTTTATATTATGTGAATGATTCCATTCATTTCTTGGACCTAAAATTAAACTTTAAATATAGCTATTAAGAAATCATTATTTATAAAGATCACGTCATACAGCTTACTATGACGTCATATTGTAAAGGCAAGTAGGATATCTCTGGGTGTAGCCTTAACATACCCGCGTTTATCATAATCTTGGCAAGCTCAAAACTCCTTAAGTCCACCGTCTCCCCGAATACCCTGTCCACTATCAAAATCCTGACGCCCTCCATCCTCTCACTGGACTCTGGCATCATCTCGCATGTCATAATGTCGTTCTTCCTCTGGCAGCAGCTAGCAAAACTCGCTAAAACAAGGAAAACTGTAAGTCTCAACATGGCGCCTGCTTCTCGGTCAACGGTCAAATGATCGTGCGGGGCTGCAGCTGTGTCACAAGGGCGCTTCACTGTGTATACACAGGGTCCGGCCTGGTCGCCCATGCGTGACGCGCAGACTGGCCAGTGGCCACATCAAAGGAATAAATGTTTACTGTTATGTCATAAACAAAATCACTAAATTATAATGTAACGGGTAATTAAAAGAATAGAAAAGAAATTAATTTATGCACATATTTACAAGTGTGAGACTTTAGAACACATTAATTCAACATGTGTGAGGTTCGGTAGAGAACAACTTTAATGTTGGTAACATGCACCACTCTCCACTTGCTGTCGCTGTCGCATAAGATGTTCAAAGAGATTTATGTAGTTAAATCTCCCTCTCACTTTTTTGTCAACATCTTCCAGACTACCAATTAATATTGGTTTCGGGAAGAGTGTTTCATTCCTATCAGGTATGAAATAACGATAGTCTCCCGTCTCAATATTCTGCAAGATAAACCCAACAGATATATTAAATCTGAAGGACATTTCTCCTCCTCTGTAATTTTCTCTAGTTTAGAGACAATGTCTGCGGCAGACAACGAATTATCCGCTGGGAAGTTGATGGTCTTTTTCACTACACCGTTTTCTCCTTCCCCGAGAATGAACTCTTTATTTGCCATGTATGTGGCCTTCAAATTCTCATCGCCTTCCCAAGGAGCAGGTTCCTCTGTGCCCTCCCACGGAAAACTTAAATCTACCCCATTGCCAGTTTGATGTGCAGATCTCAGATGTAGATAGAGACTCTTTCTATCGGGGAAGGATTTGTTGCATTTCCTGCAGCTAAGGCCACGCGCCTTCTCTGCTTTCTTTTCATTGTCGTGAATTTTTTTGTGTTCGTTCAACTCCCGCTTGTTATGTGAGGCGTGGTCGCATTTCCGGCATTTTATCCCCTTTCCTTTATTCTGAAAACAACAACAAACAGTATAAATTCACACAAAGATTGTCAGATGAAACACACGCACACAATTCACAGTACAATTTTTTTAACTTACCGTTTTTTTCTTTGGAGGCTGCTTCATCCCTTTACATGCATTTATTTTCATGTCTTTTAGCATTTGTTTTATATGCAAATGCTTTCTGAAATTTTGGGCATATAAATGCTTTTTTTTCATGTTTTGCGGCTATATGCACATTCAGTTCATTCTTCCGTATAAAGGACTTCGTGCAATTGGGGCATTTGATCTTGATGACTGGTCCACACTGGGTTGAATATCAATCTTATTTCTATAATTTAAACAACATACATGTATATATGACTGTTACACTTGAGAATGATAATTTAAAAAGAATCATCATTTAGACTCTCACCCCGGATCTTGTTCCGCGCATGACTGGGGAGATATTTCCGCCGCGCCTTCTTCTTCTCTGCACAGAAAAAAATTATGCTAAATGCTGGTATTAGTAATATGCAAAGAATATTAATTTTTCTACATGTTCTGTGAAGAGACCATACCCTGCGGATTGTTCTGTTTCCGGATCAATCTCCATAACCGCCAGTTCCTCGTTACTATAACAGTGAAATTGTTGATAGTGAAAAGAGAAGTCTAAATGTAAAGAAAAAAATGTTTAAATTTTTAAATAAAGATCTTACCTTTTCATCTCTGATTCTTTCTTGCACTCGTCTAATTTCTGCTCAACGAGTGGGTGATTCTTCAGCCCATTTTTTCAGCCCATTGTGTTACGGCCTGGATACTTTATTTATCTTTAAGTCCTCCCTTAATAATTGTCTCTTCTGCGTGGTATAAGTAAGCTGTAGACAACATTTTCAGGATACAGAACGACTATTGCAGACAGAAAAGGTGTTATGTCCATAATCGCTCTCTTGTCGTCCTTTTTAAATGGTTGTCTCCCTTAATCGTCAGTTATTACGCAAATACGTCCCAACAAGTCATTAATCTAATTAGCTGAATACATGTTAACGAGGCGTTAATTTAATTTGATTTTTTTAACAGCACCCTGTTGTCTCCTTTCACTTTATTATATTTTCTTAATGAGCCTGGCATTTAAGACTCAGATTTTCCGAACTTAATCCCATTAAAATCTCCGGTTCGGACAGGATCTTTTAAGTTTGGATTATTTTCAGGGTCTCATCTCCCACCTGTCAATTTAAATCACCTGTTCGGATAGGATCTTTAAAGTTTGGATCATTTCAGGATCTCAGGATCAGTCAGGATCCGCTCGAAATGCTACCCCTTATACTACTCACGGGTCGCCATTCCACGCCGATACCCGTGTCAAGAAAGCAGGCAGGTGTAACGAATGGGAAGAGTATACCCCCGGTGCTGATATCGTAGATAGTGTTATCGTTTTACTAACAGCATGACAGTTTGCTTGATGTTGAGTGCTAAAATGTTGTATGCTGATTATCAAATTCATCGACTGCATGTTTGATTTCAATGGAATCAATACTGTTTTACATATGAAAAACGGAACCCAGCAATACCATCGACAATACTGACCAATCGTATTAAATGATTGTTCACTAGTATGCAGTAAACAACAATTACATGTGGACAGACAAAGCAAGCTTTAATTCCTAGAATGATGATATCGATAGCTATATATATTGAAGCAGTAGCAGAGTAGCCTTTAAGCTTTCTTATACGTATTTTAAACTAAGAAAACGTGTCTAATCACAACAAATATGACACATGCTTTATTGAGGACAGAAACGGGCCTCGACTGATCACGTTGCTGCTGACTACTCTTCTTTACATAAGGCGCCATAGTGTATCAAATATTAGGAATTTTGGGCCCGATTTAAATTCAACTGATTTCTAATGTAGATTTCGTATTAAAGTTCAAGAATTTGTATCTTCTAAGTCATTTAAATAAACTCCATCAAAACTTTTATAAATCATATCAATCATATTTGATAAAAGTAAAACGTATAAAACCTATTGATCTAAGATCTAGAAAACATATCAGGGATTCTGACCTACCTTTGGACACTATAAAACATACAAATTTCTCTGAAATACCGCCATGGAAATTAATTAAACCAAATGTAGACACATCTTTAACTGAATTTAAGAAAGAAACCAGTTCTCTTGTTTTTAAACAGAAATTAGCCGAAATAAAACAATCTAAAAATTCTACAGTCGAAATTTATACAGATGGTTCTAAAGACAAAAATAAAGTAGCAGCAGCTGCAGTGAATAAAATAATGTTTTTTTCTTTAAGGCTTCCAAATGAAGCTACAATATTTACAGCTGAAGCAAAAGCCATACAGCTTGCATTTGAATATATTAAATCTTCTAATGACAACTCTTTTACAATATTTTCGAACTCGCTTTCTTGCTTGCAATCTATACAAAATATGAACATCGATCAACCACACATTTTAGATATATTAATTCAGTACGATCATTTCACCCAACGACTTTTGTTGGATTCCAAGTCATATTGGCATCATTGGAAACACTAAGGCTGACAGTGCTGCAAAATTGGCACTTCAGTACGACATTACCTTTTTTAAAATTCCTTATACTGACCTAAAATATATAGTGAAACTTTATGTAAATTCTCTTTGGCAAATATATTGGGAATTTTGTGATACAAGTAAGCTATATGCAATAGAATACAAAGTTAACAAATCATCTAACTTCGGCCTGAAACGTCAGGACGAAGTGATTATTTCAAGAATACGTATAGGTCATTCTAAAATAACACATGCATACTTATTAAATCGAGAACTTCAGCCAGACTGTACATGTATATCCTGTGACTGTCCGCTTACTATAAATCATATTCTTTTAGAATGCTCTGATTTTTCGCCTACTCAAGTAGACTTTTCAATTATGTACGAACGATGCGTGAACTGATTACAAATGTTGATGTTAATACAATTTTAGATTACTTACATGAAACTGATTTTTACTGTAAAATCTAAAGGTACACAATATAATTAATTTTGTTTATAAACACAGAGAGTTTTATTTTAAACTGTTAAAATATTTTTTGATTTTTAAGTCCGTCGGATTGGACGTTAAATGGTGCCCCGTGTCAAGGACTGCAACCCCCTTGGCACGCAAAAAATCGTTTCTCTGGTTTTTGGTAAAGAGTAGGCTCATTGGGGGCCGCCAGAGAAACCAAAAATCTTTCAAAACCGGTCATACAAAATTAATTTTCCGCTGAAATATTGCCGACTCGGCGTTAAACCCTAATCAATCAATCATATTATTCATTTATTATTATTATTATTTGAGTACTGGGAGTACTAATTTGTACAGTGGAAATTCTCGTGTTTCACAGTAACGAGAAATTACCTTAAACGGTTTAAAAAGTCAAACTTCATTATAAAATGAAAATATAAATTGATACCTTTTCTTAATGTCACTAAAAAATTTACAGAAATAAAGCATAATTACAGAATTGTACTTGTACAAAAATGTTTTAAATCCACAACATGAAATATACATTTTAATTGTGCACAATTATGTACAAATTTCCTTTTCAGAGCCCCATGTTTTGTTTTTATTCGGCTGTCACTTTGATTAATGAGCTTCTGTAATTAATTCAGTTTTATAACAATATTTGTGGCAATCAGAATGAACAGTCACGTTCTATAAAATCATGCTTTACAAATGCGAAAGAAATTATCTGTTCTTAAAATGTTAGGGGTGGGGGTGGAAGTTTCATGGTTTGCAAAAGACCAAAATAAAAGGGGGAGGGGTAATTGCAACTCGAAATGACATTTTGTTTTAGGAATAGTAAGAATGGTTTCTTTATGTAATTAATTCCCTATATCGAATCGAAACAGAAGTTAGATATGGGAAAATATGTCCTCCGACGATTTGGGATTTGGGGGGTGCATGTTCAGAACCTAATATGTTAAGTAACAGTGATGTTATAAGAGAAATCGTTTACTTGAAAAGTCCCACCAGGTTCACACTTTTTGAATTTTATCTTGCAGATATCAAGAAAGCGTGATCAAAGTCATAAATCTGCTTCTTTTT